TAACTTCCTCATATGACCTTAAAATGACCTGATTCCAGATAGGTTGGAAAGCTAACAAAAATATCTACAACTTTAATGTTTTGAGTTTCTTCAGATTCAAAATAAATCATGGTCAAAATAGCTACACAAGTTCCGAGACACCTTTGGGTGTCTCGGCCAGGCCCGAGACACCTTTGGGTGTCTCGGCGCTATTTTGGTCATAACTTCCTCATATGAGCTCTAAATGACCTGATTCTAGATGGGTTGGAAAGATGACAAAAATATCTACAACTTTCATGTTTTGAGTTTCTTCATATTCAAAACGAATCATGGTCAAAACAGCTCCACAAGTTCCGAGACACCTTTGGATGTCTCGGCCAGGCCCGAGACACCTTTGGGTGTCTCGGCTTTGGCCGAGACACCTTAGGGTGTCTCGGTCGTGCCGAGACACCTCGGGTGTCCCAGTTCAGCCTGAGACGTTCCGTTATGCCTATTTGTTCGTTTTCACCGTAATTTTTTCATCCGAACTCGGATTTGAACGATTCAAAGTGCGTTGGAAAGACGATGAGGAGTTCTATAAGCTCCAATGATTAGATCATCTATGGAATAAATGAGATACGAAGGACATTTCGTCTTTTGTAAATGACACGGGGCTCCCGATCAGTTCGTATCCTTATTATTCTGAAACTCTGTTGCTTCACATAGTTTGTCAACCCACTTCATGTGTTTGTCGACATCAATCAAGCTCTTGTGACTTGGATAGTGACGTTCATCATCTTCTCTTAGCCTCGAGCTGTTCGTGGAGACCTATAGGCAATTTTCAACGCCTACAGTGAGAGACGGGGTCAATTCCAAGAGGAGTGGCGTCAGTTGTAAATCCTAGGAAGAAGTAGTAATTTCGGGCACTTGAGGAAGGTGACACAAACTAGGCCAACACTTAGAGGAGTGTATTGTGTGATTGTAATTGTGTGAAATTGTAAACGTTATTAGTGAATGTTGAAAACTGACCGTGTAGTTTTTGAGATAGTGGAGATTCTCCTCGAGGGTGAGGAGCGGAGACGTAGGTCGTGGGTTGACCGAACTCCGTGATCAATTTCTTGTGTTTGTGTTTGCCTTGGCGTATTATTTGTGCTTATTGTTTATCACCTTTCATATCGTTATTGTCTCATGTTTATATCGCCCTTTGTTTAATTCTATATCCTTGCATATATCACTTGTATATCACATTATTAGGATATACTAGTAAATAAGTTTTATTTTGGTATCGATATCGGATTAGATTAACAAATACCATATTCAACCCCTTCTAGAGTAATTTCAAAATTATCCCGCAGGCCAGACAAGGAGCCTACCGGGACTTCGGGAGGTGGCAAAGGGCGAGCAGTGCCCCTTCTTCAATCTTTGGCTGGTGAGGTCAACGAGGGGCAAGAGGATAGCCACTGGCCTTTTCGCCATTGGATTTCTGAGCTTAATCCCCAAGTCTGGGAGAAGTCCAGGGTCCTACTGGTGGGAGAGCTGTGGCGTCCCTTTTCTCCCTGGAAGGAGTTGCTAGAGGGTGACCAGTTTGTCGCAGAGCAACCTCTTAACAAAGAGAGCTCGATCTTGGGGTCAACAACTGTCCAAGTCTGGGCTGTCCAACAATTTGCCCTCCTGAGGGACGAGGGGTTTTGCGGTAGATGCCTAGCATCGGGTTGCACTTAGCCCTCAAAAATTACTTTGTCCGGGAGACGATGTTGGAGTCGGAGTTGTTTAACCGGCTCTCCTATATGCACAAATCTCCTCCTGAGTTAGCTAAGTTGGCTAGGGAGAAATTAGCTAGGGAGGAGGCTGAGAAGAGGGTCGCTGCCTTGGAGGCCGAGCTGAGTATCAATGAAGCTAGTTGGCGCTGGGATCTGGATGCGAAAGAGGAACTCCTTAGGGGGTTCAGATCTCACGGCGCTAAGCAGGCAGCTTCCATCGAGAAGCTCCGTGAGGAGGTGGCCCAGCTGAAGGGGGAAGTCGGCCACGTCAAGTAAGGCATCTCCGAGTGGATCAACCATCTTACTGCTCTTGAGGCGGAGGTCGAGTCCTAGAGGTATCTCAGGGTGACGGCCGAGCAGGACGCTCAATCGAGTCACCTCTCGACCGAGCAACTGAAGCGAGACCTCTAGGAGGAGCGGTCAACTCATCAGGCATCTGTGATAATTGTTAAGGACCTGGAGGATTAGCTTGCTCGCCTGGACTCAAAGCAGTATAGCGCGAAAGTGGTCGATGACTGGCGCTAGGGTCCCTTAGGTAAAACTGAGGTGGCCTAGGCTTGCAAGGCTGGTGTCGACTATCTTACCTCGCTGTTTCCTCCTGGATCTCGCCCCGCTCATGATCACCTTTATCCTCCCCGAGTCTCTTGCTGCCTTGACCTCCTAAAGGAGATCGACGTGAGTGGAGGGGTGTTGGAACCGGTGTTGGATGACGATGACGACGAGTCGGAGGACGTCCCTAAAGAAGACTTCCCGCTTCCTCTTCTACTACTCCTGCACCCGAAGCCCCTACATAGGACCTCCCAAGCCCTACTCCTGGATCCGGTCGAGAGATCTGAGGGCTTGTATCTTTTTTTTTCTTCTTTTGTAAATATCGACATGCCTTTTTGTAAATATTGATATGGATAATGTAATGAAGTTTTGAAATTTGGAATAAATATTGACTTTGCTCTCATTCTAGAGTTTGCCTTCAATTATTCCTTGTTTTTGCTTTGTTTGCTTGTAGCTTTGTTCTGATTGAGAGAACAAGTATTGATTGTTGTGAGTCAGTCATGTTGTGTCGACCCGAATGCTGAGGGGTCGACCTGAATGTTGAGGTTAGGTACCTAGGACTTACATAGATGCCTGGGTCTTATCGCCCTATTGAGGGCCACCCTACTGAGGGTTCAACAAAATGACAACCTGGAGGTTGGGTGCCCATGACTTGCGTAGATGCCTGGGTCTTATCGCCCTACTGAGGGCCACCCTACTCATGGTTCAACAAAATGACAACCTAGAGGTTAGGTGCCCAAGACTTACGTAGACGCCTGAGTCTTATCGTCCTACTGAGGGCCACCCCACTGAGGGTTGGACAAAATGACAACCTTGAGGTTGGATGCCCAGGACTTATATAGACGTCTGGGTCTTATCACCCTACTGAGGGCTACACTACTGAGGGTTTGGCAAAAAAGCAACCTGAAGGTTGGGTTCCCAAGACTTACGTAGACTCATGTGTCTTATCGCCCTACTGTGGGCCATCCTATTGAGGGTTCGACAAAATAATAACCTAGAAGTTGGGTGCCAAGGACTTATGTAGATGACTGAGTCTTATTGCCCTACTGAGGGCTCGGAAAAATGACAACCCGGAGGTTAGGTGCATAGGACTTACATAGACGCCTGGGTCTTCTGGCCCTGTTGTGTCGGTTGAGTGGTAATGTGGGAGTCGACCGACAGGCAAATGTGCCTTGGGTTTACCCTGAGAAGGAACTAAATGCTTAGGATTCATGCATATATTTGGCATTATGAGAGTGCAAAACAAGAGTCAGTTTCAGAAAGACTTCATTTATAATGAATGAAATTGTGTACATGATTATTGAAAATAAATTTTCAAGTGCTCAACATTCCAGGGGTGTTGCAAGATTCTCCCGTCCGAGGCCCTTAGTCGATAAGTGCCTACTCGTAGCTTTTCTAGGACTGTGTACGGGCCTTCCTAGTTGGGAGCTAGCTTGCCTCTCTAAGTGTCTTTGTCAAAAGCAGCTTTGCGGAGGACGAGGTTGCCAACGTTGAATCTCCTGGGTCGGATGTTGCTGTTGTAGTAGTAGGCTATTCGTTGCTGATTGGTGACCTAGTTCTGTAGAATTTAAAATTTTAAAATAAGAAATTATTTTTCCTTGTTCCTCCTGATAATATTTTAAAGTATCACGTTGACAGGTTTGATGAGAAAATTTTGTAAATTCGGGATAAAAACCATCTCTAAAAAAATCTTTAAATTCATCATCTTCTACTAATTTAAAAGGAAGGTTTTTAAGAACGATAAACCTGATTACGCATTTTCTGGCTCAGGTAGCATCATAATTCCAACTACCGAGACTACCAGAAAAGGAGGATTGAGAAATCATAGATTATCGGATATCACCTTGAGGATTCTGTCATTTGTTGTGTTTTTCTATATGGCGTTTGAGGTGGTTGGTGTCGCTCTTATAATGAGCTTGCAAAGTCTGGCCACACAACGCACATTTAGCCTTCTGGGTGATGATCCTACCGTGTTCATCTTTGGTGACGTCTATCTTCTCAAAAAAATTCCACACATCGGATCTCGACCTTTTAGGAGCTTTTGGTGCAGATTCTTCGCCACCAGATTCAGGTTTAACACCGGTAGGAGGAATAGTTGTTGTAGGAGGACTCATTTATGGATCGATAGGAGATAGGTTTTGTTCTTCACAATCAGATCCAGAAGCCATTTGATTGAAGTATTAGAAAATATAAGAGATTATAAGAGAGTATAAGATTGTACAAGAGAGTATTACAGAGAAGTAGATGAGTTTTGGTGTGAGGAGAAGAAGTAAAAACCCCCCTCTATTTATAGAAGTAGCCTCCTAGGCAAATAATAAAAAAACCCTCATATTCTAGCCGTTTTGACCATTTTTAGGGACAAAACAGTCAAAACGTAAGTTTTGGCCGTTATGCCGGGCCGGGCCGGCCCGACCAAAACGGTCATTTTTGACCGGATTGTTCCGAGCCGGGCCCGGGTCCGGACCGGTCGCGTTTTCGCGGGCCCAGATCTGACTCAGGCGTCCAGGCCAAACCCGGCGAACCCAGCCCGACCCTTTTTGGACAGCCCTAAGTTAACCCTCGACTCGTACGTGCTAGTTTATTCCATTTGGCTCACAAGCGAGACCACAACAGGCTGATCCAAACCATCGGGTTATCGGGTCGGATCTTCAAATCACAAGCGGATTATCGGATGAGATCCTCAAACCTGAAACCCACGACTATAAAATGGACCCAGTAACGATGAGCGGGTCCCAGTCGCCAGTAACACAATCCAGTCTTCAAGAAATGGACGCCGCTCTCTCTCTCCTCTCTCTAAAATCCAATCTCACGCTCTCTCTCCTCTCTCTCTAATGGCGGACGGCAGCGAGGAGGAGATCGGAGAGAAGCAGAAGAAGGAGATCGCCAAGTGGTTCCTTGCCAACGCCCCCGCCGGCGAGATCCAGTACGTCGCCAAAGGTCTCTCCTTGTTCTTCAATTTTCGATATATTTTCAATTTTACTGGATCAAGAAACCCTAATTCAGGACAGTTTTTCTTTGGTTTAGATGTTCGATCGATTCTCGGAGACGATGAAATCTATGAAATGGCGGCGGAGGAAGCGTTCCCTCCGTATAACAAGGCGCATCTCATTACTCTGGAGCTGCCTGATCGAAGCGGCGATGTGAGTTCTTCTCTCTCTTTGAGCTGCATTGTGTTTTTGATCTGAGATTAATTCGCACAATTTTGAAGGATTTTCGAAATTGGAATCCAGATTGTTGTTTGGGAGATATTTAGGGGGTGTTTGTTTCAAATCCTATAATTTTAGGATATGGATTTCACCATGGGATTTGAAATCCATAGGTTTTTAAACATGGGTTGGGATTTCAAAAATGTTGTTTGTTTCATCATTATTTTGGGATATGTAATACTATAATTTGTAATATTTTATTTGTTTCAAACTTAAATTATAGCATTACAAATTTTAGAATTTGAAATCTATAGTTGTAGCAAACAAAATTTAGGATTACCAAAATAATGATTGGTGAATATAAGAACATTTAGTGAGCTTACCTCCCACAAAAAAAAATACAATTGTATTCAATTGGGGGTAATCATAACTATTCAAATTTGTACTCCAGCGGCTATAAACGGTCATAAACCAACCCGATACAATTTAAATAAAAAATATAAAAATAAATGATAATATAGACCTCAGAAAATGGTCATTTTTTTCAACACCTATATAATAAAATTGCATTGTAGATTGCATTCAAATAATGGACTGCCTCATCTAAAAATTGCAAAAGCAATCTAGACTGCATTTTGGTCATTTTTTTCAACACCTATATAATGAAATTGCATTGTAGATTGCATTCAAATAATGGACCGTCTCATCTAAAAATTACAAAAGCAATCTAGACTGCATTTTCATTAATGAACACCTCCTGTAAACAATGAAATCCCATTGTAGTTGGCATTATCAATATGTGACCAATCATCATAGCTAAATCTGATAAACTCAAAAACCCACTTTTTTCCTAGAATTTCAAATTCAAGATCACTAGCTCAAAAAAAAAAAAAAAACTTGAACAAACACCCCGAAATGAATTTTGCAACATTTTAATAGATTGTAACAAACCCACATTTTCATCCATAAACAAAGGTTATGGAATCCATAAACTCAAAAAAAACCCACTTTTTCATCCTAGAATTTGTAATCTACCCTATATCCCAAAACAAAAGTTGAAACAAACACCCCCTTATATTCTATGGTTACTGTTAATTATTTAAGGTGAGAATTTCAGCACTATGTATTGACTCTTGAGTTCATTAATTAATTAATGCAGTGTTGTTTTTCTATTTTTGGATGATTAAAGATAATCATTTCAACGTTTGGGGAAGTTGATATGTGCAACTACTTGGATCCCAGAACTGCCCAAGTTGCTACAGTGGATCATGTCAAGCAAGTAATCTCTCGTCTTTGTCTATTAGCCTCAACATCATTTTCTTTGCTCAGTATTTCAATGGTGTATCGGCTTTATATTGATAATCACATTTTGGTCTGTAAAGGTTTCAATCTTGATGTCTACTTTGCATGGTTGCCTTGCATTGAATAACTTCACTTACATAGCCAATAATTCCTGAGTCAAATTCAAGCTAATACATGTATTGTATTAAGATATGTTTTGAAAGACTTTTCATTTTTTATTTGTATCATCATTGTACTACTCTTGACTGGATCTCCAAAATGACATTCTATGGCACTTCCTTACTATGCATTGATTCACTTAATCACCATTGGTATAATATGTTATACTGCTGTTGTCATTTACTTCAAGTTTTGGAATTTGTTTAGGTTTGTACAAAGGTGAGAGCTGCAACTGATGATGAGCTTCCTTCTCCATATATTGAGGAGTTTCGGTATGATTTCCTTTCAGTGACTTACATATCTAAATTAGGGTCTTCTATGATTGCAATCTCCTACTTTTCTTTTGGTCTTCTTTATTTTTGTACCTCCACCTTCTCCTGCTGACCTTGACTTGGAATTTTGAGAGAACATGACTAAGTTTCAACTTTTATTAGATGTTGTGTTGAGCCACCTTTGTTGCTTCAAAAAGCATATCTCTAGAGTTAGGCCACTTCACATTCCATTATGCCATGTCTTCTCATATGTCTTGTGGCATGTCTTCTCATATGTCTTGTTTAATGTGTTATGCATGTCCCTGCAGTGATGCCTTGGATGTTGAACTCTGCAAGTATGTTGATGAAGCTTATCCGAAAGGAATATGTGCGGTTTATTGCACTAAGGGAAAGGATGTGGAAGGACCTGGATCTGACTTTGAGTTCTCTGTGGTGATTTCTGCTTCCAAACTCAGTCCCCAGAATTTCTGGTGTGTGAATATATCAATAAGTTTTCAATTGCATTGCATTGGCATATTATATATTGTATACCTCTCTAAGTGTATGTTTGGTTCTGTGTTGCTGAAACACCATGTAGACAATGCAAGTGTTTTTGGTTGAATGTTATTGCACCAATATGTTGTTGCCCTGCATTTTAAGCTGGAAAAGTGGCATTCAAATGAGTGATGGAGTAAAGAGCATTCATCCTGTGCAAAAGAAAATTCTAGTCACATGATTGCATTGTTTGTTATCAACCAATTGTTAATAGTTAATTAATTTTCTTAGTGATTGGAACTAGTTGCAAAAACTTGTCAATCAAAGTCGTATGATGCAACTCCTACATCTGATGTTGAAGCTGCTTCTTTGTTGGAGCTAAATTGTTGCTCCAATAACAATCAAGCAAACATACTCAAGTATGGTGTGACCTAATTTGTCACCATTTTGTAAGACATTTATCTCTATGGTTTTTAGGCAGCATTTTCAATATGGCATGAAAACTTCTTTTTATAAGCTATTTTTCATGAATTCTAACAATATTCAGTTATGTTACCCTAAATCTTCAAGTTTGTTATAAGTAGGGAGTGATGTATCTTGGTAGAGAGTTTAGTGGTCATTTGCTTAGTTGCACACTTATATTAGATGTTTTGTCCTAATGCCAAACTTGCTCATAAAAACTTCCAATAACTACATATAGTTTTCCCACCAATTGCCTTATATATGATTCTAGTGAAATACATGTCTATGGAAACTCTTTTCAAATCATTAAAGTTAAAAATCATTAGTTCCACCCTGAATTTGGACATAATATACATACGACTACCTGATGAACACTCTTGTCATGATAGCTTTCCATCTCGTGGTTGTAGTTTGTATATTTATTTCATTATTTTTTTTGTCCAAGTTTTCATTTTCAGTCATTAATTTAGTACTTGCTAGGAGCAAGGTATCTTTTCTGCTCATTGTGTTCTGTGCAAGGTATCTTTTCTGCTCGTTGTGATATGTTATTGTGATTATGCTATGACAATATTGTCATAGACTCATATTGCGACTCCACATAGCAAACCGACTGATCATTCTTTCTGCCTCTAGACTTTTTATATGTCTGGGACAAATGTTGAAGGTTTCTCCTGCAGTGGACTAGCTTAAACTGGGGAACAATAAGATGAGCTTCTCCTACCTGCTAACTAGCCTTCAAGGATTTCTTGCATGCCTCTCCTGTCCATAGTTTCCTTGGCCATGTGCAGGAATTTGGCAACAATAAAATGAGCTCCTACCCTGACTAGCTTCTCCTACCTGCTAAGATGATTTGGTCGGCATCAAGTCATCCAAATGTTACATAGAGCCTTCTACTCCATGTTCTTTAATTCCATCCTTATGGAAAAGGCTTAGATGGATGACAATGATTTTTAGGAGTCTTGCAAAAATCGTGGATCCATATTTGTGTTGTCAACTTGTCATCATATTTAATGTTTAATGACAACGTGGTACCCTATCTGCATTGTTTTAATTATCCCCGACATGACCCAATATATCGCCGGATATATCCTTTTATAGCGCTTGCCGCAACCGATATGGTCTCTAAATATCCTTTACTGCTTTTTGGCTATTTTGGGCGATATATCCCAGTATGGTGATATATTACCGATATCTTGGCTAATACATCCTTTTATATGGCTTGTCGCAGAACAATATACTGCGTTTGGCAATTTTTGGGTGAGATATCATGATTTTCCTATTATATCAAATGACATTTTGGCTTATAAAATTAAACTAAATGTTGCAACATTGATTTGTACTTTTGTTTGTTTTACAAGGTTGATTAGTGATCCTAAACATATATTATTCATATTTTATATGCTTAGATTGCATTAAGTATGTTGTGATTACATTTTAGTGCATTATGCTATATATGCAAACATCAATTGCGGCATTCTGATATTTACCACATATTCCTGATATTTCCCTGATATCTGCAATCCGATATGAATTTTGGTCATCCGATATTTCCCTATATCCGATATTTAAAACCTTGCCTTTCTGTGCTATCCACTAATTCATATTGAACAACTCTGAAAACAAACATAATGTTTATGTGCAGGGTCATGAATAACTTAGAGAAGTTAAAAGTATGAGAATAATATTTTTTCCAGCTACTCTAAACATGTGCATTTGTCAAAACAATCTGAAATTCATATCTTAATAGTTGACCCGCTAAACAGTTGCACACTTGAACTTTGTGAATAATAGATATCAATAGACTTTTAACAACTTATTCTTAGCTAGATTTTTTGGATAATAATGATACATGTTCTCTCCTCTATGTGTTTTTGTCATACCGTTCTATTAAACTATTTCTACTCTTCCAAAATTGGCTTGCAAATTGCTGATTTCTTATCCTTTAGAAAAGACTGGTAAGTTTATGTTGAAGTCCCAGATATCTCACCTTGAGTTAACCTAGTGATTCATCTCTCTAGCAAAACCTAAGATAGATACAACAAGATTTGGTTACTGAGACTTTCAGTTATTTTAGCACCTTTTACATTTACGTACTTTATACTTATTTTTTCCAATATTTATGTATAGTCATGCTAGAATGATACTTAATTCTCACATTAGTATGTAGAAACAAATTTACTAGAGTCATTGTTATAGTATCTCATGATAACTTTTATGGCATTTTCAAGCAATGGGAGTTGGCGTTCAATTTGGACTATTGAGTTCAAGGACGACTTGCAAGTTGTTGAATTAAGTGGGAAGCTGCAGGTAATCTAAACATATATTATCACGCTGCAGGTAATCTAAACATATATTATCACACAAAAAGTTTGGAGAAAATAGAGAACTGAAAAGACTGCCCTGATTCGTGGACATCAAGAAGAGCCTTTTTGCTTCTGAATGATTTTTATTTCTGTTACTCGATCTCTGAGAAAATAAAACTTTCTGTCAGGTTGGTGCTCATTATTTTGAGGAAGGAAATGTGCAGCTGGATTCAAACAATGACTGCAAGGATTCTACCATGATGCAGGTTATTGCGAGATTTCAATAGAAATTTATGTAACAAATAGTTCAGTACATATAACTGCATGCTAAATGCAGATGCAAATAATAGATCTTTAACCTTGCATTGTACTCGAGTTCTAACTTCCGAGTTATTCTATTTTGTATGGTCCATAAACATAAATGGCAGCCTTTTTTCAATACCTGAACCTAGTTTCTTTCTCCATTCAACTTCATGGAAGTCCACCACCTTAATCAAAATAGAAACTCATATGCTTCTTGGAGGAGTAAGGAAGAACCTGATCAAATTGTGTGGGCATGTGGAACAGGGAACATCTCTACTGGTCATGAGAAACGAGGATTTTTGTTGATGCAGCAAGACTAGAACACAGCTCAATTGACATCGGTTGAGATGGTTCAAAAGGGTATTATAGCTGTTAATAACAGACTTAACAGAGCTGAATATAACCAATCCTGCAATAAAGGCTTAGTGTTGTTGCTTTGGTGGTGGTTGTGTACTGTAAAACTTCAATGAATTTTCATTTGGTTTACGCCTTTTCACTGTACTACTGCCTTTCACAAAATTCCTATCAGTCCAAATGTTTAGAGCCACCTATCTTATAATTCTCTTTTTCTTGTCTTGTTATTTCTCCGTCTTAAAATTTGAATTCAGCAATATTTTTCTTAACATATTCTTCTTGATTACCCAAGAATGTAGCTCCGGAAACGCCACCTTGTGGCTCTCCTGAAATATCTTCTCCTTTTAATTCCTTGGGTATTCAACAGTTGGCAGAAGCACTCCACCCTGTTCTAGAATGTAGACAATTTTTATAAATCTCCTCATATCTTAAGAGGTAAGCTGGGTTTAGTGATTGTAACTTCAGAGTTTTTCTATCACATACACCTTCATTTGGATCCCCAGTCAAGTTATAGAACACTACAATTTACAAGATTGGCAATAGTAATTGGTATGACTTGACCTTTTAGCTTGATTTACCCCTGCTTTTCGTTATCTTATCTATATATAGGTCTGCGTTCTATCACACATTTGCTAGGTCTAGTTGCTGGTTTCAATGCAAAGTTACTGTTCAGTTTAATATATGTCAGGAGGTTTTTCTTTTTTTCTTTTTCCTGAGGAATAATATCAGGAGTTAACTTACTTGATAAGCAGTATCTTGATGCCTATTCAATTGTAACTTGTTCGATAAAGTGACTATCTGCCTTTTCAGGCCCCTGAAGATTGTGCTGTTGCAATAACGACAATGATTCGTGACCATGAAGCTGAGTATACAGCATCTCTTGAGGTTACAATCTTCTTTTAATTTTGCTTTGGATAATTTAATGATCAAGTGATTGTTGCTTGAAATTCTTTTTAACTTTTGATCGTTATGCAGGCGTCATACTTAAAGTTACCTGACACCACTTTCAAGGTAATAAGAGATTTAACAAACTTTTTTTTTTTGAAAAATCATATTGTTATTTGAAAAGTGCTACGGTTCATGAATTGATGTACCTTAGGCATCTCATGATACTATGCTGTGTTCTAAAAACTGAAATGTTAACGTCAGTGGTCATACTGAATGCATCAGTTGAAAGACTTTATCCTTTTTCATCTAAGAGAAGCACTTTCTTCTTAAATCAATGAAATTGCTATCCGGTCCCCCCAAGTCATAAGTTATTTTAAAATTAGTCCCTCAAATCATTAAAGTTGCTATTAGCATCAATTCTTGTAAGTCAGTTTAAAGTACTCCCTCCAGTTGCTACTTTTACTATTGATTTGAGGGACTAATTGAAAACAACTATCGAGAATTGGAGGGGACCTAATAGTAATTTCAATGATTTGAGGGACTAATTTAAAATTTACTTAAGAATTGGGGGACCAAAGTAACTTCAATGTTTGGGGGACTAATATTTTAAAAAAAACCCTAAGTTTTATTGTTTACCATGCGTCAAATTAGAGCTACTCATGTTGAATGGTTGCAAACAAAATGGGAGTGTTGGTTTTCCAACATTTCTTTATATTTCTAGAGAAACTAAATGCAAGACCCAAATAAATCGTTCTTTTCTTATGAATCATGCTTCATGCTGATACATCTGATACTAGTTTTATTGAGAAATAAGGGTGCCCATTATTATTATTATTATTATCTGTCTCTCCTGTTCATTTCAGAAACTTTGTTTCATTCATAGTTGTTCATGCTATCTCATTAAACCTTTCTTCTAAGATACAGGATCTTCGGAGGAAGCTTCCTGTAACCCGAACTCTATTCCCATGGCACAGCACCCTGCAGTTCAGTTTAAACAGAGACATCACAAAAGAATTAGGAATTGAAAAGTGAAAATACAAGCCAGTTATTAGTGAAGAGGTTGACTTTTTTGTGCACAAATATGAAGATGTATGTCTCTTGTAACTTCATGTATACTCCAAAAGCTCATGTGAGATAGAGAAGTATTATTCATTGAAATATGTACAAATTCGCGTTAAATGGCATTTTTTAAAGGACAGCAAGTAGCATGTATACTTGATATTCATAGAGGAGTTCAGATACTCTCATGAAATTTCCAAATTTTTGTTCAGTGGATGTTTGAATTTTGTTTACATCAGAGATTTTGGTCAATATGTTTTGCAAACAGCTCACAGATTTCTGTTATGGCCTTTGTTACATATGTATTTACCTGGCAATTGCCACACCCCTGGTACCTAAAAATTATATACATGACACTTGGGGGGTTATTAGTTGGGACAAGTTGGGGGTAAGTGGGATAATCGTTCTAACTAGTTCTTGTGTACGTGCAAAGCACGAGGTTAAATATTAAAAAATATATTTTTTGTTTATTTTCTTACTATAAAATAAGTGAGATTCATTTTAAGTTAAAATCTATAAACATGGATTATTACATTTGTCATAAATTTTATTTAGATATTTTTAAAAAATTTATGAAATAGATGATTAATTTTAAAAATCTTTTATGACCAGGAATAAACAACTAACAAGTTCGTAGTAGAAGCTATGAGAACGTAGTACATTCTTAAGAATTATTAATCTTAGTTTGTTTATAATGATAGGATCTCATTATTAACTAACTACAAGGCCTAGTACATTTTTTTGTTGGGCCCATATGTCTCCTCATTGCAATGAATGTTGTACAATTTAAGTACAAAGAAAAAGACAGGTTGATCAATGATGTAGTTTGGTGAAGGGAAACTCTAGCAGCTTAATTTGGCATGTAAATATATTATAGATGGAGATGGAAAAGAGTAGTTTTGAAAATAGTGGGTGTGCGTGGGTAATTAATATGATTTTTATTTTTGTGGTTTTCTTCGTTCATTTTCAATATATCTGCGGTCCTATAGATATATATATAACTATAGCACCGCTACTCTCTTTTAATTTTGTGGAAGAGTTTGGGTGTTAAAAAAATTAAATTATATAATTCGGTTAAAGTAGGATCATATAAGTTAAGCGCATACATGAGATTTATTTTAACTAACACCCATGTGTAAATATTACAATTGGCATTGTGATCTAAAATATGTGTGAGGTTACCTTTGATTTTTATACATATTTTGTGGTCTGAAAAAAGATCAAACATACAATATAAGTAATTGCTTTAAAATAATCTAATCTAATCTAATAAGAAGAAAATAGATAAAAATGATATGATAATTATTGTAATTTTATAAATTATAATTTTTAAATAATCTAATCTAATTTAGTAAGAAGAAAACAACAAATGCATATACCTGTTGAAAGAGATGAAAGTACTATAAAAATTATTATAATTTTTAGTCTGAAAAAAAGATCAAACATACAATATAATTAATTACTTTAAAATAATTTAATCTAATTTAATAAGAAGAAAAAAGATAAAAGTACTGTGAAAATTGTTGATATTTCTTGATATGAAAAAAAGATCAAATATACAATATAATTAATTACTTTAAAATAATCTAATCTAATCTAATAAGAAAAAAATAACAAAGGCATATGTCTGTAGAAGGAGATGAAAGTGCTATGAAAATTGTTGTAATTTCTTAGCTTATATACATTGGTATGTGATGTTACATGTGAGAGGATAACAATTGTAAATAGAGTTCTATTTAAATAGCTTATATACATTGGTATGTGATGTTACATGTGAGAGGATAACAATTGTAAATAGAGTTCTATTTAAATAATAAGAGTATAATTAAACTTTAAAAAACAATTGTAAATAGAGTTCTATTTAAATAATAAGAGTATAATTAAACTTTAAAACTAATTATGCAGTACTGTGAACTACTTGAATTTTAGCTGGTGAGAGATCGCCACGTTGTGTCCTCATATCGTAGCCGTTTGTTTTAATTTTTTTATAATTTTGAGAACGATTTTGTCTCTTTAATTTGTTTGGTGTATTTTGCAAATACCCCATACACATTATGTACATTTGTATGTCTGCGTTGTTCCTAGGTTCGACCTCTAGGGCATACATTATTTATCTCACTAATTTGTTTGGTTTTTGCATATAAGCCCTTCATCTTGTATACATTTGTAAATTTGACATTTAATAATTTCATTCATGTTTACATTTTAATTTAAATTATATCCTTATCTTCATACTCTGTATATCCAATAAAAATTCATTAATTTATCAACCCACTCTTACTTAATGGATTAATATTTAAATTTCAAGGGTATTTTGGTCTACTAAAAGATTTTCCCGAACTCGTGCTTTTAAAGGGAGTATGATTGAATAATTTTATCCCTTTGGAATATTTTGAGTGGTGTAAAGTGGGACAATTTAGAATAATTGGATAATTTGAAGCTTTAATTTGATAATTCACGTAGAATAATTGATGATGTGATACCTTATTAAAGTATAATATTTATCTATCAATTAAGTTTAAATTAATTTACCTATTTAGTTTAGTATATTATTTGGTATGTTATTATAATATAATACATTATTTTACTTTATACTAAAATATAATATATTATATAATAATTACTAACTAATTATTACTATATTTAATATTATAAATTAATATAATATATTATATTATATAATAATTGATATATTATACAAACAACATATTTAATATAATATTTCAATAATATAGTATTTAATTAAATATTAGAATATTTTGTTTAGTTCAATATAATATTATTTAAAATATAATATTTTATTTTATTTTATGATTATTACTATAATTAAAATAGAATAATTGATGACATGATTCATTATTATATAATATAATTAATATATTGTTATATTAAATATATAAACACTATATTATAATACAATATTATATATCATATAAATACTACAATAGTATTTTTATTCTAACTCATAAAATATATATTAAATAAAATAAAGTAATATTATAATTTATGAAATAGTATTAACCAATATGTAATAATGATATATAATAATGCTATATTAGATAATATTATATAATATTTTATTATCTTACGTTATAATAAAATTTTATAATATAATATATTTAAAATATATTATATATTATAATACAATTAACATATATTAGGTATTTAATAAATTAGTGCTTTAAAATTATCCCACTTTCCTCATGATTGTCCCAAAGTTAAGAATAGAGTAATTTTTGGAGGTTGAGACAAAAAGTTTGTATAGAAGTGGGATAATTTTAGAAAAAATGGGGGTAATTATCCCAATCTCATTGTCTTAATGAATAACACCTTAAAGTAAAAACTCAATCCCATTGTCCCAATGAATAACGCCATAAATTAAGAATTTGAATCCTCTCCACTACAAAAAAGTCGTGGAGAGACCACTAATTTTAATCTCAATCGTTGATTACTTAATAGGCGGTTATGATACAATCTAAATCTAACACTTAAATACTCCCGTGTATTGCACACATTCCTAATTTGTACTAAAAGAAAAAATCACAACCACCAACTAGATAATCAATGGTTATGATTATGTAGTGGTCGCTCCACTACTTTTTAGATAGTGGAGAGGATCTGAATCCATAAATTAAAGTCTCAAAAATTATCTCACTAACCCCAAAATTACACCAACAAAGAGTACACTGCTGCTCTGATGGCAAAATTGGTTAAAATGAGTTGATACTAGCTTTAGAGTTTGTTTGGATTTCAATGGGGTTAAGGGAAGTCAAGGGAAACTAGGTGAGAGAATGGAATGGAAGGGAAGGGAGTTCCCATCCCATTGGTTATACCCCAATTTGAGGGGTAATAAATTTTATACTATTAGGGGGTGAACCAAAGGGAACTAGGGTGAATAACTTCACCTCCTAAATGTTCCCAAACAAGTTGAATGGTTCTCCTAACTTCCCTTCACCCTTATTCCACTCAATCCAAACAAGCCATTAATTTCATCCGGTGAAGTTTATATTTAATTTGCTAATAGCTTTATTTTCTACAATAAAAGAGAAATGCTGCTTCATCTGACAATATTATTAATTCTTGTTTTGGATAACAAGTTCATTACTCAAGTCTAAGCATTTAAGAGCATCTCCAACAGTTTCTTTAAAATTTTCTCCAAAATGGGGAAGCAAAAGTCATATTCTCCAACTAATTTTTACACCAACTCCAACAGCTTCCCCATTTTGAAGAATCTATTTTTTCCTCCAAAAATTTGGAGAATGCTGCAGATTTGGGGAAGCTTCCCCATTTTTTCTCCTTCATCCCTATTTTGGGGAATGAGATGCGGAATCTGTTGGGCCAAAAACCTAACTAAATTCTCCAAAAGTGAGAAATGGGGAAGCTGTTGGAGATGCTCTAAATATTATCATCCCCATATACTCTTCGGACGTCGCAAATAGAGAATTAATAAGACTCGATTCTTAGGCCTGTTTAGAACTGCAAGTGTTGAAATATAGATTAAATCTCGATTAAAAAAACGCATTCTATTTTTGTTGCAATACAGCCGAAGTTTCACCTTTTAACTTTAACTAGTATTCATCCCGTGCTAAGCACGGCATCCTTACAGATTATTTTTGTGCATAATTTTTACTCATCTCATTTTTTTTGTTTTGTCACGATAAATTTATCTTAAACATACTTATGAACATTATAACAACTTAACACAGATAGGTATTTGTGGACATTATAACAACTTAATTAAACTTAACTCAGATGGACAAAGAAAAGAGAGTCATAATCGGTATTTATGTACATTATAACAACTTAATTCAACACGATAGGTTTTAGAGAATATGAATTTGCTAATAAACTTACAATGATGACCTCCTCTCGGACTGAGATCTTAATCAGTACTTTGAAAACATGATGTTGCACTGCAGAATAGATACATAAAAGGCAATTAGTTTATATCAAATGAGATTATCTCATTTTCTCTAAAGCATTTATCACGTGCAAAGCACGGCTAGTATTAATCTTTTGGTCTGTTTTATGGGTACATATTTTCATGCATCACTTGCGCTACTGTTATAACACTTTTTGTTGTCTTTCTTAATTTCAGCATTGTTCTCAATTCAAAGAATTATTGTTAAGTTTCAATTGAATGTATTTATGCTTAAATGCATGTTTTCTCTACTTTTGCTAAGTTTCTAAACTTAAATGCAAAATAATTACTCATAATAAAACA